GCTATCATATTGGGTTGTACAGATATAGAATGTCTCATTTACCTCGGTGTGCCTGGGTGGCTCAGGTGGTTAAGTGTCCAACTCCTGATCTCGATTCAGGTCATGATCTCACAGTTCATGGTGTTGAGCCCTCGGTTGGGCTCTCCACTGACTGCGCTTGGGATTCTCTGTTTTCCTCTCTTTCTGCTCCTCCCTCACTCATTCTTTTTTTTTTTTTTCTCTGTCTCTCAAAATAATAAACTTAAAAAAAAAGAATGCCCCATTTGTCTCAGAAAGTGCTATTAAAGAGTGCTGGCCTAGTAGGTCATCACCAAGACACCCAGGAGTATAGTGTCTATAGCTATACTTCAAACTATAAATAACATAGTAGCTTGTTAATGTTGATATACTAGTAGGTTGTTTGTTTATATGACTTGCAATGAACTATCTCTCTTTTCAAAAAGTGGCATTTTTTTTCTTGAAAGAATTGGTAGGTTTTGAGATAAGATATGGTAATTATTAGAAATATTGAAGACTTCTAGAAGCCCACATGGAGAGATATATTTCCCTGGAATCCAGTAACCAATGGACTAAAAAAAAAGTGTTGACAAGATTCTCTCCATGAAAGAAAAATACCCCTTGTATTTGGCTGATTCATATTAGAAATGAGACATAGCAAACAATGCTATATGTATCTTACTTTTAATTAGACAACATTGTTTTTTACTTTTGTCATTTTCAAAAGTGTTTAGAATAAAATGGGATATTAAAGGAATATATCAGGGGCACCTGGGTGGCGTCCAACATTGGCTCAGGTCATGATCTCATGGTTTGTGGGTTCGAGCCCCACATTGGGCTCTGTGCTGACAGCTAGCTCAGAACCTGGAGCCTGTTTCAGATTCGATATCTCCCTCTCTCTCGACCCTCCCCCGTTCATGCTGTCTCTCTCTCAGAAATAAATAAAACATTTTTAAAAAAGGAATATATCAGATAATAGGATGTACAACAATCAACATTCTTAAACATAGATGAATTCATTACAAAAGGTGGTGATGTTCAGCAGGAGGAGTTTGGGTCACAGAAGTATGAATTGATTTGCGTATCAAATTCAGTGGTTATGGGATTGCCCACTTACATCTCAATTTATGCTGCCTTTTTATTCCTGGCATATACATCAGGACCAAACAAATATTCTACTTGTTATATATGATTGGTAAGGCAATTAGTAAGCAATGGACCAAGAGGGGGAATGTGTATGAGAAGAGGTAGAGTCATAGGCTCATGTCTAGAGATGCTTGAAGAAAAGCCACTTTTAGAGAAATTCCATAAAACATAATTGAGGGTGTACCACCTAACTACTAGGTACCCACATGACTTTATTGCATAAATGGCTGATTATCAATGAGAAGCAACCAATTCTTCCTATATGCAGACTTGCAAGCCAGGTTTCATTAGGGAAGACTTTGTTAGTCAGTAAAAATAATTAAATATTGGGAATCTAATTGATCATTCATAATATATTACTAGGACTTATACTTCCTAGACAGGGATGTGAGACAGGCGCCATGGTTCTGTTAGATCTACAACTCTGTGGGACACCCAAGGATGTGGAGAATGATGGATAAAAGTGCCAGAAGCACGAGAAGCATAAATTTGAAATAGTACTGTAAAGAAGGAGGGAAACTTGACAGTTTTCTCCCATCAATATTTATTTCTCAATGAATTTCTAAAACTTTCACCACATTGATATTTAATGCTCCTGCAAGGCCTGTTAAGAATGTTAATGACAACTGATGGCCCAAAGTAGCCTATAGTCCTGAATACCACAATATAGAGCCATTAGACCCTTTTGTGATTGAGCACCTGCAGTGTGGCTAGTCTAAAAGTGCTCTGCAAAATGCATATTAGAATCCAAAAATGTAGTAGGATAAAAATATGTAAAATATCTCATGAAAAACATTATATTGGTACTTGTTAACATGATCTTTTAGATATATGGATGTGTTGTATTGAGGGGGTGATTTAATGAATAATTCATTTTTATATCCCATTGGATCAATGCCTACCCTATTCTGCTTCACTGCAAAATGTGCAATTGATTATATTACTACTGGTCAATAAAAAATGTCCAGTACTACATAGTGTGCCAAGATCTAGCTAAAATCCAACAGGCTTTCTTTTCCTTTATACCAGTGACATTATTGTAAGAAGGCATAATAAAGATTAATGCTTTTAGATAAAGATTGGATAATAATTTATATACAGAAATGTGAGTGGGAAATTAAGCCCTAAGGTATAAATTTCCACCTCCTGAAAAAGAAGTCTGGAGGAAGTGCCCGGCAATCTGCATTAACAAGCTTTCCAGGTTTCTCTGATGCCTACTAGTCTTTGAGAATCTCTGCTCTCAAAAGTAATTTCAAATCATTTCTCCTGGAGGAAGTGTGTTATTTTTTTGGAAATGGTTAAATAATTTTACAATCGTTTCACCAGAGATTTCCATCTCAGGAGAGTTTCTTTTTAACAAAATTATACACTGGTCATCATAAGAAGAAGACATTAAGGGACACCTGGGTGGCTCAGTTGGTTAAGTGTCCGACTTTGGCTCAGGTCATGATCTCCCTGTCCGTGGGTTTAAGGCCTGCATCAGGCACTGTGCTGACATCTCAGAGCCTAGAGCCTGCTTTGGATTCTGTGTCTCCCTTTCTCTCTGCCCCTCCCCTGCTTGCACTCTCTCTCTCTCTCTCTCTCTCTCTCTCTCTAAAACAAATAAACATTTTTAAAAAAGGAGAGATTAAGGATGTTATATTCATAATCATAAATTTTCTCAAACCAGTTATGAATATGTCCATGTGTCTGTCACTAGGTTGTGGGAAGGAATGAGGTAGTCATTTCAGGGATCAATGGCAAGGAGAGAAATTCTAGAGATCTGAGAAGAGGAATATCTTGAGCTTCTCCATCAAATTCTTTTCCTCATCTAGCTTGGCATTACAGGTATTTGTGGATGAGGTAAGTATTAAGGGTGAGCCTTGAATTATTAACAGCAAAGTGATTTATAACTCTATCATCAAGGTGGGTCGTACTTTTCATTGGAAACAAGATATTGGATAACCAAACTTCTAATATTCCCTGAAAAACTAGTGCTTATAAATTACTACATCAGAATAATGTAAAAACCAGTTGTCTTTAAGGTGAACATTCTTACTAAGCCGATCATGCTGATGTTGCATTAGGACTATCATCTGAAAATCACACATAGGGCAGTGGATCTCAAACTTTAACGTACCTACAAACCACCTGAGGAAATTGCAAAAATTCAGATTCTGATCTAGTAGGTCTCAGTTTCTGCATTTCTAAAAGGATCCTAGCTAATGCTGGTCCACTGACTAAACTTTGAATAATAAACACCTTCATGCCAGACCTTTGGAATCTAAATCTGCATTTTTCAAAGTTTATTTATTTATTTTGAGAAAGAGAGTGAGAGTGCACGCACGCACACTCATGTGAGCAGAGGAGGGGTAGAGAGAAAGGGAGAGAATCCCAAGCAGGCTCCGTGCTGTCAGTGTTGAGCCTGATGAAGGCTTCAATCTCACAAACAGTTTAATCATGACATGAGCCGAAATCAAGAGTTGGTTGCTTAATTGACTGAGCCAGCCAGGTGTCCCTAAATCTGCATTTTTAACAAGATTTATGGGTGATTCTTAGGCACATTGAAGTTTGAGACACTCTGATAGCAATGATCCACAGTGATTTACAACTCTGGTTCTACTTCATAATCACCTAGGAAATTTGCATAAATGCCGGGAGCCGCACCGGCCTCGCTGGATGACAGTCTTAGCAAGGATATGGTAGCGTTTGCACAGCTCCTGCCATGAGAAACGAAAACTGGTATCTCCTTCTGCTACTACTGGCTCATGTTGGAAATGAGGCTGCTGGTATTGACCAGGCCTCACAATATTCCCTATTCCCCACGCAGATTGCTTATAAGGAAAGGTATGTCCTTGCCTTTCCAAAGAGAGTTCAGATGATAGCATTGTCAAAAGGCTCTTCCTAAGGGCCTTGCAGATCCAAGACTTACATAATAAAGGGGGCTTGAGTCTGGCCCTGAGGCAAAGAGCCTAATTTAGAGTTAAGGGCAAATATCCACCCACACCCATTTGTTTCTGCTTGGAGCATCTTCTGGCCTTGTATATGCTGATTACTCCCTGTAAAGGAACCTATTGAGGAACTTCTTTTGTGATTATGAGAGCAAAGGTGTTCCCTGAAAGACCTGTTTTTCTTGATACTTCCACCTTAAATAAACAAGCTGTTGACCCCTGCCCACAGAGAAATAACTTCACCCTTTTTATGCTGAAAACTTTGTCTGGTATGCTAAAGATGCCTTCCTTCCCCATAGGATAGGCATCTAAATCCGCTACCTCAATCACTATTGTAAACATTATACATGAGTCTTCTACGTATCTATGTTCCGGGAAATTCTTACATATCAAAGAAGTTTGTTATCAGAAACCATTGTCTAAGGCAAATGCCACTTCTGTGCCATCCCCCAAACACTTAATGATAAAATAAAGTTGAGCCCCAGTCAGAGCAGAGATGCCTGACTGGTGATCAGAAAGAATCTCTGGGGCTCTCTCACTCTCTCTCTCGCCGACACCGTCCATCCTTCAGGGACCCCTGGACCTGCCGGAGTCGGCCTCTGGCATATAAATCTGATTCTTTGGGTCTAATCTGGAACAAATAAATTAGAAATTGTAGGCTATAACCTATTTTAATTGTATTTTGAAAAGTTCCCATGGGTAGTAGGCAAAATAATAGCCCTTCAAAGATGTTCAGGTCCTCATGATTCATACCTGTGATTATCTTACATGGAGAAAGTGACTTTGCAGATGTGATTAATGTTAAAAGAATCTTGATTATCATGGTGGACCCAATGTAAACACAAGAGTTCTTAAAAGCAGAAAATATGTCCCATGTCAGAGAGATGATCACAGAAGGGAGAGAGATACACATGAGAAGAACTCTACTCACCTCTACTTTGCTGGCTTTGAAAATGGATGAATGGGGCCATCAGCCAAGGACTGAAGGTGGCCTATGGATGCTGGAGAAGGCAAGAAATGGAGTCTTTCTTAGAGTCTCTAGAAAAGAACTCAGCTATGCCAAATACCCTGATTTTATCCCTGGGAGATACATATCAGACTTCTAGCTTCAGAACCATAAGATAATATGTTTCACAAGCCTGTGCTGGTGATAATTTTTTTGTAGCAGGAATAGGAAACCAATACCAGCTGATAAGAATATGCAGTCACCGCTCTGAGTCTATAGTAAGAAGCCAGTGGATGGTGTCTGGAGTTCCCTAAACAGAACAATGGTTCCTCATGTCTGAGAGTTATTCAACTTCCAAGAATTTCCTGACCAGCCTAGCCACCCAGTTCAGTGTCTGCCATACAGGGATCTCTGAAAAATTGGGGAACCACTTTGTACCTATAACCTTGAAATTAAGTACACTTTTTCTAGTGTTCATATATTATCCCCTTAATCATTTGTGTATATTGTGCTACGTGGATCACTCACTTATGTGTGTGTGAATATACACACATATATACACGCATACATTCATGTTTACACACACATATGTCTAGATTCCTGTATTTAAAAAAAATGTACAAGAGTTAGTCAAAATAACATCGTTAGGGGCACCTGGGTAGCTCAGTCGTTAAACATTGACTCTTGATTTCGGCTCTTGTAATGACCTCACAGTTCATGAGGGCTTTACTCTGGCAGCACAGAGCCTGCTTGGGATTCTTTCTCTCCCTCTCTCCATTCTTTGGCTCATGCACACACTCTCTTTCTCTTAAAATAAATAAGCTTAAAAAAAAGAAGAAATGTCCTTTAAAAATAACATCTTTAAACCTATGTGTAAACAGCAAAGCATGCCAAAATCTAAAACAAGTCACTATAGTAACCAGTGAGTTAAATGATACCAGATAAATGATCTGGATGTGATAACTCAGAATGTTTGGATTGCTCTTAGAGGTTGCAAACATAACAGAGGCATGCTCACTTGGGTGTATAATAAGCATCTCCAACTCAATATGCCTAAAACATTTGGCAACCCATATTCTGGTTGCTCAGGACAAAACTCTGGCATCATTTTGCTATCCCTGGTTTCTCACCTCTCACATGTCTTCTGTCAACAATTCCCATCATCCTTCTCTCCAAAATGACCATGAACATCATGGGCTTTTAGACCCAGGCTTCCCCTGAAATATATACCAATTGTCTCTATTGATAGCTGTCCCTTCTGCAGAACCTAACTCGTGTTGGTCTGTTCTCTAGGTAGCAGCCAAGAGGATTCCACAAGAGTTCAAGTTAGACTGTACCCCTCTTCGCACATTGTTCTGAAGGCTCGCCATTAAGCGAGAGTCCTCCCTGTTACTCACTAGAGGCTTTTGAGATCAGGAGTCCTGAAAGTAACTCAGTTCAACCCCCCTTTGTTCCCTTCTTATTCCCCACAACTCATGTCAACTTTCACTCTTCCTCAGACACACAGGCAGACGTCTGCCTCAGTTTCCGCACTAGATCCCTCTGCCCTAACTGATCTTCTGTATCTGTATGACTCACTCGCATCTCTTACAAATGTATCCATTGTGGACTTTTTTTCTGCCTTACCAGAAATCTTCACCCCCAACCTACACATACATACTTTATATCCTTCTTTGCTTTATTCGTCTTTAGCTCTACTGCCTGTGTAACTCGTTTTATTTATTATTGTCTTCTTTATTGCTCTTTCCCATGGTGGTATGCAAGCTCCATGAAAGCAATAGCTATTGTCTGACTCCAATCCTATTGGAACTTCAATAGCTCAAGAAGTGATTTGCCCACTGCAGGCATTCGGTAAATATCTGCAAAATGAGTGAAATAACAATAATGATGTTTTCTGAAGAAATAATAGTATTGGTTTACCACTTACGAAGCAGTAAATACAATGATGACTGCATTGCAGACATGCTTTTATTGTTTACAACAAACCTAGGAGAGAGACGCTAACACTAGATTATTTTTACAGAGGAGGTAATAGGCTGGTGGGGGTGAGGGGTAACAAGCACAGCCATGAGGCAGTGTTGGTGATCTAAATCAGAGTCTTCCTGACTGCAGAACGTTTGTCCTGGTTGGCTAACCTGTAGTTAGCCAGGGGTGCTCTGAAAATGTTGTTGATTGATACATCAGGAGATTTTAATACAAATCATTCTTATTATAGGACAAACCATTTGATAGAATTGTACACCTTAATTCTATAAGCAAGCTGGCAAAATTGAAAAATAACTTACAACTAGAGCAAAATTTATCTTTCTGAAAGAGCAAAATTCAGCCAAGTTTGGGCTTCTCTCTCAGGAAACATTATTATGTAGCCATTTCCCCCTGGAGGGACTCAGAATCTGTGTTTTGAAGGAACACCAGACCCACTAATGACCTTCATGGTTCTCAGTGTTATATGAGCTGGTTTATAAAGAAGAATAGAAAGAATTACATCTGTTTCTAGATTGTATCAGAATCATATTTGACTCATTTTATAATTTTAAAATGTGCCAGAATTGAAAAAGATGTACAGTAAAGAAGCAGTATTATCCAAGTTCTTCATATCCTTGTAAATCATTTTATATTTTCAGATTGTTTTTTTCCTAGTAAATGTGAGTGGTATTTGTCTCCTCAGGATAAAAGTATCTTCCATTGCTCAGAAATAGAGCTCAAGGTGATTTAGATACAACATTATTCTATTTCAAAGGGAATTGTGTGCTTATAATTCATTTCTTCTGCTGTGGTTGGTATCTATGACACAAAAAGGAATAATATTTGGAGAGTTGGAGGAGAAAAATTAGTGGAAAACAGAATACTGATTTAAAAATAATTACTGAGAAAGATGCCACCTCGTCATACCTTCCATACCTTGCTGATGACTCATGACAACCCTCTGATCACAAAAGTGCAGCTAGGTAGCTAGTAGCCATACTTAAATGCTATCAGGTGGTAGCAGGCTGTGTAGGATAGTAATCAGAAGTAGAATTTTATCCAAAGAATTAATTAAACACCAAAAGAAAATTAGAATGTTTATGTCAAATTTGTAGACAATAGCTTAGACCATTCCACAATTAGAGCACAATAATAAATGAACAATATTCCTTTTCTCTGTGAACCTGGAAAGAGTTCTATTTCCAAAACCTCTCTAAAATAGTTTATAACTTCACATTTAAGCCATCGAATCTCTAGTTTTCCAAGTTGATTGATCCTCCTTGTAGGACGAAAGAATTAAATAATCCGATGTATAGAAGACCACCAATACCAATCTAAAATCCCATCAGGATTAATGAGAAAATCTGTAGCTTTTGATGAGAGAGATACCAGTTAAGAAACCAACAGCGATCTATGGAACACGTACTCTGTGTTTGAACTATCCTATAGCTAGAAGTAGCTAAAAGTAGGAAGTCTACCACTTAAGTAAGACATATTCTATTTAAAAAATCCAACTATAAAATACAATTTTGTAACAATTCGTGATGAAATTAAGTGTCAGATATGGCAAAGATTTTGATTCCAAAGTTTATAGGGAGGTGATTAAATAATTCATTGTGTGTAGCATGAAGTTTTGGCAGAAGAAAAGGGATCACAGCAGAGGCACTGGATTTGTATAACGATGGGCAATAATAAAGAGGAGAAATCAGGGAGAAGCTGTCAGAGAGGTGACGGTGAGTTGTAAGTATATGCTAGTCTGTTATTGTAACTGCATATTATCTGAGTAAAGTTTCTGCATTGTGTTCTTAGTTTTCCAGTTGCAGATACAAACAAACAACAGCATAAATCTGCAAGCTATGCTACTAAACCTAACCCATATGCTCCCCCTTTTTCCATTCAACTTAAGGTTGTGATATTTTCAAGTGTAAAATTAAGTTTACTTTAAGTAATGCTCACTAAAATGCAGAATGGCAGCTTTCTTTAGATTTATGCCAGTAAGGGTCTGTGGGGACAGGGACAGAAATATTGGCACAGCAAATGTTAATTCCAAATAAAATAACAATATTATGATTTGTAGAGATTGATGTGATAGAGATAAATAAGAGAAAGTTTGTGAAAAATTAAAGAAAACCATACTTTTGTTAACTTCTGACATGTGTGCATACATTTTACATGGTATTAGCTTTGAAGATCTTTCTTTTATTTACTGCCATCATTAAACTCGATAGGATTATAGAATCTATGAGTCTGAATTAAAAAAAAAAAAAAAACAGTTCCCAAAAGAAAAGCCATCCCACCTTTAAAGAAGGCAAATTTTATCGTCATAAAATTTTCAAATTTTAGTGAAAAGCTGTATGTTGAATTACAATTTATCAATATTGCAACAAGCACCTATTGGAAAAGGAGCTACAAAAATTTGGAAACAAGCCATGTTTCTCTATTTTAAAGAAAACTGCAAGCTAAGCTTGATATCAAAATTTACACAAAAATTATACCCTAGATACATAGATAGATATAAGCCAACCAAAACACAAATGTCTTTGAGAATGATTTAATGCTCAACTACTTCATACCAACCACAAATGCAGTTCAGAGATTATTATTAGTGGAGTAATTTGAAAATACTTGAAAAAATAAAAGTTTCAGAAACTCATACTACGGAGAGATTGAATTGGTGGAGGAAGGTGTGAAGAAATAATCTAGTGAAATTAAGTCATAATTATTATTATAAATGTTAATATTAAATGAGTACTGCCAAATTGATGCAAATAATAATTATTAAACTTGTACTTTACTTAAGGTATGTAATAAAAAATTAAATATTCCTTCAAAAATAAATAGCTAAAATATCTACAAGTGCACATGTATCTCATGGCTCTTTTATTTCTAGATTAACAGTACAAGGAGTGATTTTAACCTGCTTAAATTCTATCCACTATGAATCTGTAGAGAAAGATAATATTCTAACGCACACAGATAAAAATCCTGGGGGTGCCATGGTGGCTCACTCCGTTAAGATTTGACTCTTGATTTCGGCTCAAGTCATGATATCATGGTTCGTGAGTTGGTGATGCGGGGTTGGGTCCCACATTGGGCTCTGTGCTGACAGCGCAGAGCCTACCTGGGATTCTCTCTCTCTCCCTGGTGCCCACCCCAACTCGTGCTCATTCTCTCCCTCTCAAAATAAATAAATAAACTTTAAAAAAAAAGATCTTACTCTTGATTTTATCCCAGGTCATGATTTCATGGCTCATGAGTTTGAACCCTGCATCCGGCTCTGTGCTGATATTGCAGGATCTGCATGCTCTCTCTCTGCCCCTCCCCCACTTGTGCTTTCTTCCTCAAGATAAATAAATAAAATTTAAAAATCCTATATAAAGCAGGATAAAGTGGTGGATGAACACCCAAGTTAGATCGTTTAAGTTCAAATCCTAGTTTTACTAATCAGAAGATGGATACTTCACTACTCTGTGATGAAATTTTCTAAATTGTAAAATGAAGGAAATAATCCATATAAATGGTTTGTTCTGATTATTAAATGAGTTAACACAGGTAACAAAATATATAACCTCTGATTATTGCTGGAAAAAAAGTTCAAAAAGCACAAATTAATATATGAAAAAATATAATGGTATATATAACCCAAATAATAAGAAAAAAATTGTGCTCATAACTTTATAGTTTTTAGATGAAATAGAAAATTCTAAATCCTTCATTATCCTATGACTATGATAAATTGAACTAATTTATATTGAATTATATTATGCTTTATTGAATTATAAATTGAAACCATTATGAATTGAAGGGGTTATTAAAATTATACTCAGAAATCTCTGGGTTTAAACTGTTTTATAGAAGAGTTCTGCCAAAACTTTCAAGAAATAGATAATTTCAATGTTTTATAAGCATTTTCAGAATTAGGTCTAAGCACTTGATAAAGTGTGTCTAACTGAGAAACTACTACAATAGTATACATAGAGAGATATTTGAACAACCTCTTTAAAATTAAAAAAATGCTCACTTTCACCAATTTCATTCAGGTATTATTAGTTTATAGCATATACAAACATAAAAGAAAACAAATGCATAGAAAGAATAATTCATTTTTTATATTTATAGATAATATAATCGCCTGTATATAAAGCCAAAAATATACTATATACTAATTGAAACTATAACATATAGTTTCATATAATAAATGGGTTTAGCAGGAGGATAAATAAAAGAGCAAGACATATAGTACTTTCCATTTCTATACAACCAGCATAGAAACAGAGAATATAATTTTAGTAGAAACTGTTCTGACAATCTTTGAAAAAACTAAGTTACCTTGGAAAAACTCACTGTGTTTTCATTCACATGTATATTAATTGTGTAATAAAAATAAGGCTTTTTACTATTTTAAAGAGTGATATAAATAATTATTCCCATTGTATAGATCAGTTGTCCTAACAGATTGATCTTTTGATTCAATGAGATTATATTTGTCCGGATAATTATTGTTGTGACTTTTGAAAGTTGACTCTAAACTTTATGACTTTTGAATGTTGCTTTGCAACATGGTTTATCAATGAGAAAATAATGGGACTCATCACTAAATGGAATTGGAAACATTGCTTTATCTGTATGGGATAGGTGCTTTGGAATCTCTATGCTACAGGACTCATAGCATTAATATTCTAATGGGGAATAAGTGGAAAAAGTCAGTATTGTGTTAGTACTTGTTTAAAAGCTAGGTCTTGGGTGGGTGGGAGAACAACAGTCCTGATTTATAGCATTTGCTACAACATTCTCTGACCAATATTTTCTTAATGTTTTTAACATTTATTTATTTTTGAGAGCCAGGGAGAGACAGCACAAACAGTGGAGGGGCAGAGAGAGGTGGAGACACAGA